TAGAAACATATATTTTCTTTAACAAAAACATCAAATTTTATACATGTTTTTTTAATATTATTTGCACTTGTAAATAACAACCATTATATGTTGGTGTTTTTAATCTTGGATACATATGAACCATTAAATGTGGATATATCTAAACTTTTTTATTATTTTTTTACGTCCAAATATTAATTTATTATTGTTGTGTCATATTTTTTTAATTTAGTAAAAATATTTATTTATATTTTATAAAAATAGTATTAATAAATTATCTATAATAAACTAAATAATATTCTAAGAAGTAGATTTATTCTTGAATTAAAAAAATATTTATCATAACTTAATTATTAAACTACCAATGATTAGTAAAATTATGTAATTATTAAATTAATTAGTAAAAACAATGATTAGAACAATAATTAGAGGGTATGGATAAGTGAAGATGGTGTAGGAATAAAAGAAGCCTTATCATAATTCAAATATTTTTTTATTATACTTATCATCATCTAAAAATGATAGGAGAATAGATAAGAGAAAAAAAATAAGAGGATATTTAATTTGTCGTTTATATATAATAGTTATATGCTGTGATATCTCCAAATTCACGGTCATTTAAAAAAAATTATTTATGTTTTTTAAAAATTAGAGTATTCATTTAAAAGAATAATATTGCGGAATTTGTTCCCAGAAAAAAATGATAAAGATATTACCGAAGTGTTTCCGAAGAAATGTATTTTGTTTATATTAAAACTTTGGGATGTTATCGTCAATACAAAAACATATGCATAAACAAACCTTATATTCATTTACACTAAAATTTACATCTCCTTTAATCTCTCAGCAAAATGTATATTCGTATCGATATATGTGATACAAATAAACTTATATATATATATATATATATATATATATATATATATATATATATATATATATATATTGGAATTCACAATATATACAATTTCACCTCATATAGCTAATTTTACCCCACCCCGTCGATTCTCACAACGACACGATCTATACTTTTGGATCTAAAATTAACCTCTTTACCTAATCATACTCCCGGATCAGGTATGTCTAATCCATACTCTCGGATCAATAACTATGTTCATTCCATACTCTCAGACTAAAGACAATTTACTGTGTCTAAACCATGCTCCCGGATTAATGACAAATAACTATGTCCTCTCTATACTCTCAGACTAAGGACCAATGACTATGTGTAATCCATGCTCTCGGATCAATGACAAGTTTTAAAGTTATACCCTACGTGTATATCTCACTCGTACTCATATGGAGATAATACCCAACATTCCTCTTAATTAATTTAGGTTTACTTTGTATCCTAAATCATCATATATTATCAAATATGCTTTTAACATGTATTTCAGACAATATCAAATATTTCACACACAAACATATATTTAATACTTTAATCAATACTTGTATTAAAATCATATTAATGAAAGGGACTATGCACTCACTTGTTAAAGTGATGACTCGAAATTTGGACAACGTTTCGCTTCTAACAATCGTCTTTTCCTTCGACAAAACCTAGTATTATTATCACTATATTTTAGTCTAATATTTATTGCGACTAATTATTAATCTAGATTTACGAGCGATATTGTTTTATAAGTGTTAAAAAATACTTTTCAACCACTATGTACAAACATGGGCCAAATAGCAATATGGGGGAAGTTCCCATCAGGCAGAAATGAAACACCAGAGGGCAGGACTATTTTGACATTTAAACTGTTCTGAAATCCAACAACCCTATGCGGCCCTTCAAACCAAATTCCCCGTACCGCAAGTAGTTAAAATATATTATAATAACAATGTCACACCCCGCAAACCGAAGGCGGAAACATTTCCGGGGTTGACTCCACGTAGAGTATCAAATCCAATGCATATAGTAAGTAAAGTAAATCAACCATTACATTACATATATGAAAGTTTTACATTTGTTTCAAAAGCATAAGTTATACAAGTGATACATAGTATATATGAACAATACAAAATGAGTCTTCTGAGAACTCCGTCTTCACACAAAAGGATCTTCGGGTACCTGTCTAACATGGACCTGAGAATACAAGCGGTTTGAAAATCAGCATAAAGCTGGTGAGTTCATAAGCGGTTAGTTTTTCTGAAAATGTACGAGTTCCTTTGTTTTCCTGAAAAGTGGTTATCCAAGAAAATCCCATATTTTCTTATGTAAAGTCAGTTTCCAAATTCGAAGGTAAAGTAAACGATGTTTAATTAAAACATGATTGTTCTTATGAAATGTAATTCAATTGTTTAACTTATTACACTTCTCTAATTTCGTACTACTATTACTCAGGAAGAACCCCATGTTCTCCTGACTGTGTGTGTGTGAACTGTTACTAGTTCTGATTATGTTCGATGTCCTTCCCAGGAAAACCCCATGTTTCCCTGACTGTGTGTGTGCATCTTTACTGGTTCTGGTTTTGTTCAGTGTTCTCCCCAGGAAAACCACATATTTCCCTGACTGTGTGTGTGTGTCTTTACTGGTTCTGGTTATGTTCAGTGTTCTCCCCATGAAAACCCCATGTTTCCCTGACTGTGTGTGTGTGTCTTTACTGGCTCTGGTTATGTTCAGTATTCTCCCCAGGAAAACCCCATGTTTCCCTGACTGTGTGTGTGTGTCTTTACTGGTTCTGGTTATGTTCAGTGTTCTCCCCAGGAAAACCCCATGTTTCCCTAACTGTGTGTGTGCATCTGTCATCCCTAGATGTACATTAGCTTTACTACGTACATAAAGCTAGTAAATGAGTCTAAAATGTTAATAATCTAGATTGTGAGTCCTTAACCATACTTAGACTGGATATGACTCGGACCATGGTCAGTATCCTATTTATGACTTTTGTCACCCTTGAACCATTTGGTTCGGCTGTAGCTAGCAGCCAGGTGTGGGATTATCAGTCCCGTATAAATCTATACACTCAAGCCACGCTCTCCTACGAACGGAGATTCTGGTTATAGGGTTAGTCCTCCACTGTCTCGTGCCATGGAAGTGTTACAAGGATGTGTCTCCAATCATTAAGATTACTCTTTACTTTTCGACTAGGAAAGTAGTATTTATGACTGACTATACTCTACGTACCTGTCCTTTACACTCGAGCCTAGGTGTTTTATTAAGGACATTACACTCGAGCCTAGGTGTCATTTAATGATAGTTGTCCTTTTACACTCGACCCTAGGTGTATTATTAAGGACATTACACTCGAACCTAGGTGTCGTTTAATGATTATAGACCTTTACACTCGTTCCTAGGTGTATTGTTAAGGACATATAGATGTTTTATGTTTTCTAATGGAGTCTGTCTTTTACACTCGAACCTTAGTGTTTTGTTACAGACATTACAGTGGTTTATGTATTCTATCAGTTTAAATGTGAACAATCAATTACAAAGTACACAATATAACAGTGTATAATAAGAATTGAAAATCGGGTTAAAAACAAACAACTCTGCAAGTTAAAACAGTTTGTTTAAAAGGTTTTCAATTCTTAAAGTGTACAATTATGAAACCATTTAATTGAAATCATGTGATTGAGTACAAGATATTCTTGTACTTTTGCTTGTATTCCCCCCTGAAAACATTGAAAAACTATTGAAAAAGGGTAGGGGTATGAACTCACCGGACGCGGAAATGTGTTGATTTCGGATGCTAAACGTCGAATCAAGGCCTGATAGCACGCGAGATTCCTATGTAAAATGAAATGGCATACAAATATATCTAATTAGATTTACAATCTCTAATTAGATATGAAGATACACTCCAACGAACGAAAACACCTCAAAACGGGTGTTTGGAGTGACCCGGGTGACATCTACGGACGGGAATTGAAGCGTGGGACTTGGGATTTGAGTTTACTCCCCAATAGTAAACTTCCTAATTGAGTTTATGGCCTAAACACCCATTCCCCATGAGTTTACGGCCGTAAACTCATAGAGGGGTGGTTTATGGTGTTTAATGAGTCACATAGGGTCAATACCACTTGGAAATGTTTGGATTAATTTTACCTAAGGCTTGGGATGGATTAAATTCACCAAATGCAACACTTAAAGGAGTTTACGGCCTAGGCATGGGTTCTATGGCCGTAAACTCTCATATCTCTTAGAATAAGTGTTGTTAAGGTCCCAAAATTAATCACATGTGATTCTAAAAATTCTAACAAGCCTAGAAATCAATTTTGGGCACCATTTGACATCCATTTAGGAGTTTACGGCCATGGGGCATGTTCTATGGCCGTAAACTCTCAAATGTGGGATTTTGATGCGTTTAAAGCCCTTAAACTATTTTTGGTTGGTTCTATGATTTATTCCAAGGCTTTTGGTGGTGTTGGATGGCTTTCTAACACCTTAGAATTGATTTTATACCCCTTTTTGAGGATTTTACGGCCCAAGCACATGCCTTGGCCGTAAACTCATATAAACCTCTCAAAATTTATGTTTGAAGTGTTCTAAGTCCAATTCCAATATTCTAAAAATCATATCTAAGTCTTGTTTGTGTTTTGGAAGGGTTAAATGGCTTAAAAACCCTCATAATATGTGTTTACGGCCATGGCACTCATATACAAGGCTTCAAATCTTGGTTTGAGGCATTCTAATTCCATTTCATAAAGTCCTCTAGCCATATACAAGGTCCAATTGAGGTTTGGAAGGGTTTTGTTGCTCCAAAAACCCTCTTTATGTGAGTTTACGGCCTAGGACTGTTCTAGGGCCGTAAACTCATGAAAATGGTCCTATCCCATGGTTTGAACTCGAATTTGAGGGCTAAAGATGTTGCATAACAAATTAGGGAAGGTACCTTGGTGATTTGAAGCCTTAACTTGAGATTTTGACCCTTAAATCTAGTTTGAGGAGAGAGGTTGGAGTGATAGTTGTAAAATGGA